TTTGAGGTCTATTTTGTCTGATACAAGTATTGCTACCCCAGCTTTCTTTTCCTTTCCATTTGCCTGAAAGATATTTTTCCATCCTTTCACTTTCAGTCTGTGTGAGTCCCTTCTAATGAGGTGGGTCTCTTGTAGACAGCAGATGTATGGGTCATGTTTTTTTATCCATTCAGCCATTCGATGTCTTTTGGTTGGAGCATTTAGTCCGTTTACGTTAAAGTTATTATTGAAAGGTACTTGTTTGTAGCCATTTCTTTTTTTGTGTGGCTGTTTTCTTTCTGAGCTTTTTATTTCTTCTTTTTACACCAGTCCCTTTAGCATTTCTTGCATTGCTGGCTTGGTGGTGATAAACTCCCTTAGCCTTTTTTTGTCTGTGAAGCTTCTTATTCCCCCTTCAATTTTGAATGATAGCCTTGCTGGATAGAGTATTCTTGGATTCAGTCCTTTGCTTTGCATCACTTTGCAAATTTCCGTCCATTCTTTTCTGGCCTGATGTGTTTCTGATGAGAAATCATTTGATAATCTAATGGGAGATCCCTTGTATGTAACTTTCCGTCTCTCTCTTGCAGCCTGTAAGATTCTCTCTTTGTCCTGAACATTTGCCATGGTAATTATGATGTGTCTTGGTGTGGGTCTTTTCGGGTTCACCTTGTTTGGGACTCTCTGGGCTTGTGTGACTTTTTTCTTCCCCATCTCAGGGAAGTTTTCTGATATTATTTCTTCGAGTAGGTTTTCTAATCCTTGTTCATCTTTCTGTTGTTCTGGCACCCCTATTATTCGTATGTTGTTTCGTTTCATGTTGTCCCAAAGCTCCCTTAGGCTCTCTTCCTGTCTTTTAATTTTTTTCTCCAATTGCAGTACAGTTTGGGTGTGTTTTGCTTCCTTGTCTTCTAATGCACTAATTTGGTCCTCCGCTTCTCCTAGTCTACTATTGATACTTACAATGGAGTTTTTCATTGCAGCTATATCACTCTTCATTTCTTCTTGGGTCTTACTTAAGTTGTTGATTTTTTCATCTGTTTCTTCTAGCTTCTTCCATATGTTATTTATTTTTTCATCTGTTTCTTCTTGCTTCTTGCATAGGTAGTTGACTTTTTCATCTTTTTCTTCTAGCTTCTTGCAGAAGTTGTTGACTTTTTCCTCCGTCCAGTTTATGCACTCTAGGACCCTTATTCTGATTTCTTTTTCTGTCATGTTGCATGCCTCTGTATCATTTAGCTGCTTTTCTGGCGAGTCCTCTTTTTCTTTCCTTTGGGGGTTTCTTTGTCTACCCATGTTTGATCTCACTGACATATCTAGACGTTGAGTCATTCAGTGGCTGCTCCATGGGTGGCAGTGACTCCTGGGGCTGTGGTTGCTCTTCGGGCGGTTGCGGTAGCAGCTGCTCCACAGTTGGCAGCAGCTCCTCTGGTGGGTGCTGTTCACAGCTGTGGTGGCTCTTCTGGCTGGTGGGGGGAAGTTTCACGTACAGCTGCTGTTCCTCAGACAGAGGGTGTGGCGCTCAGGAGGCTGCTGTTGCTTGGATCTGCTGCATTGATTTAAAGGCACAAAATACAACACAACAAGGCACCACGTACCAGGCACTAAACACAAATATATTCACGATATTAATAACCCCAAATAAAGGTGACCACCCAAATTAAGAGAATTAGGGGATAAGGAAGAAAGAAGAGAAAAAGATAAAAGAGAAAAAAGAAAAGAAAAGTAGGGACCAAAAAAAAGGAGTGCAAAAATGAAATTGGGAAAAAGGAGGGGGGAAAATAAAAGAGAGAAAAGAAAAGAAAAAAAAGAGCGAAAAGAGAGAATGAAGTAGAAGAGGGGAAGAGACTATTAATATGAGGAGAAAACTCCTATAGAACAGCCACTAACCCCAACAAATTCCAGCAACAGCTCCCTGGAGATGAATGCAAACTAGAAACAACCAATAATATCAGAGAGGCAAGTGAAAACAGAAGCACAAAAATAACCGGGGGAATGGGTGGAGGGAGGGGAAAAACCAGCAGAAAAAAATAAAAAGAAAAAGCAAAACAGCCTCACAACAAGTCCTAAAAAACACACACACACACACAAAAAAACAAGCAACAACAACAACAACAAAACAATATACTCAACAATCAAGCAAACAGCAACAAAACAATAGAAAGATAAAAGAAGAAAAAATAAAAAAATTTTTGGATAGTGAAGAAAGATAAGGGGTATGTGTATAAAGTTTTAGAGCAGTGGATTGGAAATAGGATATATAAGTAGGGTGAAATTTGACAGGAGGTAAACAGAAGGAATAGGGAAAATCTAAAGCAGGAGTAGGATAAGAGAAACAGGACAACAAAAGGGGAAAAGTGAGGGAGAGGGTATAGCATAGAGGTAAAATTGAGGTAGGGAAAATTGTTGCTAAAGGAACGATGAAAATAGAATGGAGAACACTAATCCCAAAATAAAATAAAGAGAAAATAAAATGGCACTTTAAAAAATGGTAAAATGGTAGCAGTAATAATACTGGTTAAAAATAAGAATGTAGTAATTAAAAGGGTAAAATCAGGTGATGGAAAAAGAAGAAAAAAATTGGTTTCTTAGTTAAAAGGTGAAAAAAGAAAAAAAGATTGCAGTAGTGAAGGTCCTTCGGTTCTTCTACTCGTCAGTCTGGCTCGCCTTAGTCCTGCCAGGTATTCAGGAGAGTGTTGAATTTCCCTGCGATACCCTGTTCCTCTGTGTTGTAAACCACAGTCCTTATTTTAAAGCAGGCTGTATTTGTTTCCCAGACTGCCTTATTTTGTGTTTAGCAAAGAATCAGTTTGTGGCTCAGCCTCTGGGTGGCAGTGTTCTGGGGTTGGCCTCTGAGGCTATATGGCTTCTCTATCGCTGGGATTGAAAATCCCTCTATAGGCCAGATCCTGTTAACTCCCAGGGACTGATCAGATTATTTTAATCCTTGATCTTGTTCACAGTGGAATCTGGGTGTGGCTGTGCTCCTTGCCTGGGTGCTAGGTAGGGGAGTTCCACCCTCCGGAGAGAATGGCTGCCCCGATCCTGGGCCCAGGGGTGTCTCAGCACTCAATTCGCTGCCACCTCTCCCGGCCCCCCCCCCCCTCTCCTCAGTCTCTCCCCAGATTCCACTCGTCCCCACCTTCTCCCTCTCTTCAGCACAGGTGAGTGTCTGTATCCAAGATGTCTTATGAACAGGATTCAGTGAAAATAAATAAGCACACGTGGGCCGCGGAAACGGGCAAGGCTGACTTTCTTACAAGCTCTTCTATTACCAGCATTGCATGCTCTGGTCAGCTCTTCAGGCTGCCCCCTTTAGGCTCAGTCGTCCGTGATCACAGAACCCAGCTCTCAAATCCCCCGGTGGCGCCAGGAATCCCACGGATCTCCTTTCCCCAGTCAGGGGCTGTGCCTGTCCCAAGGGATGCAGCTGTCTGCCGCGAGGTCTGCCTCTATTCCTCTGGGCTCAGAGGTCTGGCAAACTTTCCTGCCCAGATCCCTGGTTTTTTACCTTTCCAGGGGAGCTCTGCCCTTCCCGGCTGCAGACCGTCTCACCAGCTGAGTAGTTTCGCCAATTTGGGGTGGGTGTTATTAGTTTCAGCTGCTTACTCCATTTGCTCCCAATGTTTCCAATTTCTGCTATCTGAAATTTATAAAAATTTCACTCCTATTTTCATTTCTTTACATTTGATATTATTTTGTATTAGTTTCAGGTTTTATATTAGTTACAGAATAGTGGTTAGACAGTCATATACTTTACAAAGTGTTCCCCGATATTTCCAGTACCCACCTGGCATCATACCATCATTACAACACTATTGACTATATTTCCTATTTAAGTGACAATAGGTTTACAGGTTCCTTCCAATCTTTCTTTTGTGTTGCTCACCCTTTACTTTCTCACTTCTTTCCTCATTTTCTTTATATAGTATCTCAATTGGCCCTCAAAGCTCAGTGAAGGCACTGGGACAGGCTTAATCCATTTTACAGACCAGGAAACTGAGGCCAATTCCGGTTGGCTGCGGAACTGGACTCAGCGTGCAGGGAGCCCTCACAACTGTGCTCTCCACCCTTCCTAAGGGACAGCCGGGGCAAACAGAAAAAACCTTCCCATGAGGCTTCAGACCCTCGTTCTCAAGCACCTCTTAATCATAGATGCTCCACATTCTTTTCTCTCCCTTGCCCCCCCCCCACCGCCCGCTCCCATTCTTTACTGACCCCCCCCCCCCCTTCTCTGGAGCAGTTGGTAGGCTTCGCACTTACCACACAGGCGAGCGCCATCGTGGGCGGGGCAGGAGTGGACTTGCTTTTGGGCCAAGGCGGTAGCAGGAGTCACTGCCTCTGAAGTGCGAAGGCCACCCCAGCCAGACCCAGCTAGCGCCAGGAGCTTCTCTGAATCTCCTCAATCAGTGGGGTACTCTGCAGTGCGGCACCCCTCCACTGAGGTGGCCCCGCTCCTCAACCCCTGCCTCAGGGCGGTGGGTGTGCGCCCCTCTGCCCGGGCGCGTCCTTCCATGCCCCTTGTTCCCCGCCAGGCCGACCTGTGTCTTGGGTCCACTGCAGAACCTTGCTCTCCGCAGGCAAGGCAGATCCCCGCCTGCTGGCCCCCGCCCCAGCCCGAGCCCTCTCCGGTGCACCCCACCTTGCCAGGTTTTTGCCTTTGATCTGTGGCATTGGTGACAGCACACTCCTAGCAAGCCTGGTACCCAGAGGGGCACAAGGTCAGTTCTTTGCCCAGAATGTTAGAGGTTGCAGTCACATTTGCAGATATTGCCCAGAGCCTGCTGGTGAAGGCAGCGCCTGTGTGGGGTGACCTCATAGAAGATTGGTTGGCGCCACTCTGTGCCCTTTGGGCTGCCTGCCTCCTGGCAGGCCGCTTCCCCAAAGCCAAGGCACTCGCCCAGGAGCCGCCCCTCAGGCGGCCCTGCAGTCGGGCCTCATGCCATTTCTAGGTCTCCACCCTCACCTGGGTCACCTCCTTTCTTCCACTTTTGGCCTTCATCCATCCCTCTCTCCTGCAGTGCTTGCGCTCCAGGCCCGAAGGAAAGGACCAAGGCCAAGAAGGACAAAGCCCAAAGGAAGTGAGTCTTGAACTCCCACATCCCATTCTCTGGATTTTGCTCCCCACTCCCACTCTGCCCCCTGCCCAGCGGTTGTGATGTCACGGAGTCCCAGCCTAATTTGCATATTCCTCTTTTATTATATAAGATCATTGCTAAATATGTTCTCCCATACAATGGGCTCCCATTTTATTTTGTTGCTGATTTCTTTTGCTGTGCAGAAGCTTTTTATTTTGATATAGTTCCATTTGTTTATTTTCTCCTTAGTTTCCTGTGCTCTAGGAGATGTATCTGTAAACATATTGCTAATGAGAGATTTTGCTGCTTATGATTTCTTCTAGGACTTTTATGGTTTCCTGGTTTACATTTCAGTCTTTTATCCATTTTTAGTTTATTCTTATGTATGGTGGTCTAGTTTTATATTTTTGCATGTATCTGTCCAATTTTCCTAATATCATTTATTGAAGAGACTGTCTTGACTCCATTGCATGCTCTTGCCTCCATGTCAAATATTAATTGAGTGCAATGGCTTGGGTTGATTTCTGGGGTCTCTGTTCTGTTCCATTGATCTATATACCTGTTCTTGTGCCAGTACTGGGCTGTTTTGATTATGGTGGCTTTGTAGTATAACTTGAAATCTGGTATTGTGATTCCTCCAACTTTGTTCTTCTTTCTCAAGATTGCTGCAGCTATTCAGCAATTCATTTACCATGTTTGGAGTATTTGTTCTAGATCTGTGTAATATGCTATTGGTATTTTAATAGGGATTGCATTGAATCTGTAGATTGTCTTGGGTAGTATGGACATTTTAATGATGTTGATTCTACCAATCCATGAACACGGTATATTCTTCCACTTTGTTTATATCTTCCTCTATCTCTTTTTTCAACATCCTGCAGTTTTTTTCTTTACTGATTAAGGTATTACATATGTGTCCTTATCTCCCTATTGCCCCCCCCCCCACTCATGCCCTCACCCCCGGGTATCTGTGTCCATTGGTTAGTCTTATATGCATGCATATAAATCCGTTGGTTATCTCTCCCCCTTATCCCCACCCTCCCTTACCTTCCCTCTGAGGTTTGACAGTCTGATCAATGCTTCTCTATCTCTGGATCTGTTTTTGTTCATCAGTTTATGTTGTTCATTATATCCCACAAATGAATGAGATTATGTGATATTTATCTTTCTCTGACTGGCTTATTGTGTTTAGCATAATGCTCTCCAGTTCCATCCATGCTGTTACAAATGGTAAGAATTCCTTCTTTTTTACTGCAGCTTAGTATTCCATTGTGTAGATGTACCATTCTGCAGTTTTCCGAATACAGGTCATTTACCTCCTTGGTTAAGTTTATTCTTAAGTATTTTATTTTTTTATTGCAATGGTAAATGAATTGCTTGTTTAGTTTCTCTTTCTGAGAATTCATTATTGGTGTATAAAAAAGCCATCGACTTTTGGGTGTTTGTTTTGTATTCTGCTACATTGCCAAATTCATTTATTAAATCTAGTAGTTTTTTGGTGGAGTTTTTGGGGTTTTCTATGTACAATATCATGTTATATGCAAATAATAAGAGTTTTACTTTCTCCTTTCCAATTTGGGTGCCTTTTATGTTTTCTTCTTACCTGATCACTGTAGCAATGACTTCCAGTACTATGTTGAATAAAAGTGGTGAAAGCGGACATCCTTGTCTTGTTCCTGTTCTTAAGGGAAATTGTTTTAGTTTTGCCCATTGAGTGTGATGTTGGCTGTAGGTTTGTCATATATGGCCTTTATCATGTTGAGATATGCCACATCTATTCCCACTTTGCTGAGAGTTTTTATCAAAAATGGGTGTGGGGTTTTGTCAAATGCTTTTTCTGCTTCTATTGATATAATCACATGCTTTTTGTCTTTCAATTTATTTATGTGATGTACCATGTTTATTGATTTTCAAATATTGTACCAGTCCTGCATCCCTGGAATAAATCCCACTTGGTCATGGTGGATGATCTTTTTAATATATTGCTGGATCATATTTGCTAATATTTTGTTGATGATTTTAGCATCTATGTTCATCAGGGATATTGGCCTATAATTCTCTTTCTTTGTAGTTTCTTTATCTGGTTTTGGAATTAGCATAATGCTGGCCTCATAAGAAGAGCTTGGAAGTGTTCCTTCCTCTTGGATTTTTTGGAATAGTTTGAGGAGTATAGGTGTTGTTCTTTTTTGAATGTTTTGTAAAACTCCCCTGTGAAGCTGTCTGGACCCAGGCTTTTGTTTGCTGGGAGTTTTTTTGATTACTGCTTCTATTTTATCAGTTGTTATTGGCCTATTCAGGTTTTCTGCTTCTTCCTGATTCACTTTTTGGAGATGGTATTTTTGTTGGAATATGTCCATTTCCTCCACATTGTCCAGCTTGTTGTCATATAGTTGTTCATAGTATTTTCTTACAATCCTTTGTATTTCTGTGGTGTCAGTGGTTACTTCTCTGCTTTCATTTCAGATATTATTTGTTTGGGTCCTCTCTGTTTGTTTCTTGATGAGTCTGACTAACAGTTCATCAATCTTGTTAATCTTTTTAAAGAACCAGCTCTTGTTTTCATTGATTTTTTGTATTTATTTTTTAGTCTCTATGTCATTTATTTCTGCTCTAATCGTCATTATTTCCTTCCTTCTGCTTACTGTGGGCTTTCCCTGTTGTTCTCTTTCTAGTTCTTTAAGTTGTAGGGTTAAATAGTTTATTATTGATTTTTTATGGTTTTTGTGTGGTTTTGTTTTGTTTTGTTTTGTTTTGTTTTGTTTTGTTTTGTTTTGTTTTGTTTTAGGTAGGCCTCTAGTGCTATGAACTTCCCTCTCAGGGCTGCTTTTGTTATGTCCCATAGGTTTGGGGTAGTTTTGTGTTCATTTTCATTTGTTTCCAGGAAGTTTTTTATTTCTTTTGATCTCATTGGTAACCCATTCATTGTTTAATAATATGCTATTTAGCCTCCATGTGTTCAAATGTTTTTGAGTGTTTTTACTGTAGTTGACTTCCAATTTCATTACATTGTGATCTGAGAAGATGCTCGATATGATTTCAATTTTCTTTTTTTTTTTTAACAAATAAGATTTTTTATTTGTCACCATTAAAAGTCTGAATTTTATTTATTTATTTATTTTTTTAATTAAATCTTTATTGTTCAGATTATTACATTTGTTCCTCTTTTTTCCCCCCATATCTCCCCTCCTCCCAGTTCCCGCCCCACCATCCACCCCCACTCCCCACCCACTGTCCTCATCCATAGGTGCACGATTTTTGTCCAGTCTCTTCCCGCATCTCCCATTTCCCCCCCAAGAATAGTCAGTCCATTCCCTTTCTATGTCCCTGATTCTATTATGATCACCAGATTATATATTCACTTGATTCTTAGATTCACTTGTTGATAGATGCATATTTGTTGTTCATAATTTGTATCTTTACCTTTTTCTTCTTCTTCCTCTTCTTAAAGGATACCTTTCAGCATTTCATATAATACTGGTTTGGTGGTGATGAACTCCTTTAGCTTTTCCTTATCTGTGAAGCTCTTTATCTGACCTTCAGTTCTGAATGATAGCTTTGCTGGATAAAGTAATCTTGGTTGTAGGTTCTTGGTATTCATCACTTTGAATATTTCTTGCCACTCCCTCCTGGCCTGCAAAGTTTCTGTTGAGAAATCAGCTGACAGTTGTATGGGTATTCCCTTGTAGGTAACTGAGTTTCTTTCTCTTGCTGCTTTTAAGATTCTCTCTTTGTCTTTTGCTCTTGGCATTTTAATTATGATGTGTCTTGGTGTGATCCTCTTTGGATTCCTTTTGTTTGGGGTTCTCTGCGCTTCCTGGACCTGTAAGTCTATTTCTTTCACCAGGTGGGGGAAGTTTTCTGTCATGATTTCTTCAAATAGGTTTTCAATATCTTGCTCTCTCTCATCTTCTGGCACCCCTATAATTCTGATGTTGGTACGTTTGAAGCTGTCCCAGAGGCTCCTTACACTATCTTCGTATTTTCGGATTCTTTTTTCATTTTGCTTTTCCAGTTGGGTGTTTTTTGCTTCTTCGCGTTTCGAATCTTTGACTGGATTCTTGCGCTCCACTGGTCTGCTGTTGGGTGTCTGTATAATATTCTTTATTTCAGTCAGTGTATGCTTAATTTCTAGTTGGTTCTTTATCACAACATCGAGGGTCTCATTAGATTTCTTGAGGATCTCACTACATTTATCGGCGGTCTCACCAGTCTTTTCGAGGGCCTTACTAAGTTTATTGGCAGCTTCTAGACAGTTCTTGAGAGACCTTAAAAGTGTGGTTTTGAGCTCTATATCTTCCATTTCTGACATTTGCGTCCTGTTTCTTTGTCTCCGCATTTTTGTATCTTTTCTTGGTGCACCCCCTAGTGGTCTTTGTGTGCAGTCTTATTGTAGTTAAGCCTTGATTGTTGGCAATACCAGGGGTGATTTGACCTCCAGGCTAACTGGCTATGAGAGTCAGCTGTGTGATTTCAATTTTCTTGAACTTGTAGATATTTGTTTTGTGTCCTAACATGTGACCTCTCTGAGGATGACCCATGTGCACTTGAAAAGAATGTATATTCTGCAGCCTTGGGGTGAAATGTTCTATAAATGTCAGTTAAATTCATCAGATTCAGTGTGTCATTTAGAGTCTCTATTTCCGTATTAATTTTTTGTGTGGAAGATCTATTCAGTGAAATCAGTGGGGTGTTAAAGTCCCCTATTATGACTGTATTGCTCTCAATCTCTCCAGGTTAGGAATGTTTTCTGCCATTATTTCTTTAAACAGGTTCTCTATCCTTTGCTCACTTTCTTCTCCTTCTGGCACACCTATTATGTGAATTTGTTATGTTTCATGTTGTCCCACAGCTGCCTTAAGCTGTCTTCCTGTTTTTGTTTTTTTTATTGTTTTGTTTTTTTTCTTTTCGGTTCTCTGATTGAGTTATTTTTTCTACCTTATCTTCTAATTCACTGATATAATCCTTGTATTCCCCTAATCTGCTATTATTCCTTCCATTTTCTT